TTTAGGTTCTGGGATCAAATAATTATAAACAAGTTTTTGGGGTTTTTTTACACAAATGTCTGACAGGACATTCGAAAGTTATGTGGGACATAAGTTTTCACTTTGCAAAACTGTCCTGTGAATTACTAAGTGTCCGTTATAGCCCCAAATTATAGTGATGACCCCAAAACCACCACACTTGTGCAAAGCACTCCCTCCGGGGTGGTACTGACCTCATGGAGAAGGTCTAACTTAATGCACCGGGCTTAACCATTCAGTCTGTGTCAGACACTGGAGCCGAGGAGGGGCTGTCCATCTCTGGGGAGAGGATCAGCAGTCTATGGAAGGCATCACGTTCCTGTCCACATGAGGTCATGCCTACTACTCATTCATTCTTTCATTCAATCGGTGTTAATTAGCATACCCACTCTATTCTAGACATTGCTCCAAGAACTAGAAAAGAACGTTGAGATTTTAGAAAACAATACTAGGAAAACTCCTTCTCTTGTAGAGCTGATTCTAATCATTGCTTCTTTGTGGCTTTTTCCCAGACATCTGGAACTAGTATAACTTTTTTTTCTCCAGAAGATTCTGAAATGGGTCAGAGTTTAGCCCCAAACCCGAAAAGTCACGCTCTATTCTTCTTCCCATACTAAATTATGCCCTGGAGTGTTGCCCAGCAGACCCCAGCAGAGGTTCTGCCATAAGATCAAAGAATTCATGAAGACACTCAAGATTCTGCTCCCAGGAAGAATATCAAAATCCTCTTGTGATCAAATTCCCAGGGAAAGATTCAAAGATAAAGTCCTAAGGATATTAATGTATGAAATTATTACATTTGAAAAGAATTATAGTCCAGTATCAAAGTCTATTGTGCTTGTGCATTAAAAGTTCATAGAAATTAAAATCCAAAAATTTTCTTTTCCAGTTTTTGTAACTGCTTAACTCAATAGCTGGGTGAAGTGTGGGATTTTGCCATGGTCGTAGCAGAGCCTGCCTGCCACTAAATTATTTGTACAATGCCTTCAGGATCTTTAGCAGATTCTAAAACTATCAGAGTTCTAAAAGTCGAGAAAATATAACATTCTTCTCAGCACTTACCCACATCCACAAGACTTAGAACGTAATTCAAGCTCCAGGTCCATCGCAGTTGTACCAGGAAATGTATGCTCCCAGAATGCCGCCCGTAGCTGCTTATCATGGTGTGGATCCTAAAGGCACCATTTATATCCCAGTTTATGTATGATTCCCCCTCTTCATCATTGGATAGGCGACCCCGCAACGCACGGTAGGGCAACCTGGCAAAAGTCTGTAGCGGAGATTTAGTGTTATCAGAGAACAAGAGAGCAGATAGAGATCTTGGGCTTGACGCACAGGAGTTTAGAGCCTCCTATGTCAGTTATCCTGAGGCCACAAGCTATTTCAACTCACTTAGGAGAAATCTTACTGTGGCAATGAATGAACTAACACAAGACCAGCTTGGGGCCAGGCATATATGTCATTTCCTTCCATCCAGCCCTGGCTTCTGCCTCCTACCTTCCTTCACATTTACCAGTTATCCATGTAAAACCCAAATCCGATCTTACATCATGTAGGATCAGATCCAGACTCCTTGGATGAAATGTATGAACTTCACAGCTTTGTTGGACTTCGTCATTTCTCCTGTTCTCTCACCCTAGCCTCCAGTCCCAGTGAAGGGGGTCAGAAGCTGTTGACACATGCCATGCATTTCACACTTCCGTGGCCTGGCATTCATGTCTGTGTGGCTGGGATACCCTTTCTGTTTGGTAGGTCTGGAAGGTTTTTTTTGAGACAGAGTTTCGCTCTTCTTGCCCAGGCTGGAGTGTAGTGGTGCAATCTCGGCTCACTCTGCCTCCCAGGTTCAAGCAATTCTCCTGCCTCAGCCTCCCGAGTAGCTGGGATTACAGGCGCCACCATGTCTGGCTAATTTTGTATTTTTAATAGAGACGGGGTTTCTCCATGTTGGTCAGACTGGTCTCTAACTCCCGACCTCAGGTCACCCACCTGCCTCAGCCTCCCAAAGTGGTGGGATTACAGGCATGAGCCACTGTGCACGGCAGGTCTGGAAGGTCTGTACTTACATTTAAGGGCCAACCCAAATGTCTGTCTCCATCAAGTGGGTTCTCATGATACACTCCCATTCTTTTATTGTAGCACTTATTTTTCTCTATTTTGTATATAATTTATGTACACACATATTTATGTGTATATATATAGTATATGTGCATATATACACAAATATATGTATTTGTGTATTTAATTTGTAGACCTTTACTCTCCTTTGTTCATGAGAGAGTCTTATGTCTTGAAGGTCTAGAAAGGGCTTTATACATCCTCGTATGCATAGGATCTAGCACAGAGGCCTGGCACACAGGTCCCAGAATAAAAATGCTTGCTAAAATAAATGTGATCATAAAGACAGCAATGATTATTATGAAATTTTAACTTGTTTACCAGAAAAAGTGCATAACCTAAAACTTGGCAAATGTGTTCTTCCATGAAACAAAGGGGTGAAGATTAGGAAACTCGAGTTTCATCTGATTCTGAAGTAATTAAAATCATGTTTAAGTTGAAAAGACAGTGCCATCTAGTGGTGCATTTCTTTTTCTTTTGCAATGACGGCTTTTTGTCATTCCTGTCTTATATAATCCTAGCGCTTTAGAATAATGTCAGTGGTCATGGTCTTGGCTGTTCTGAGGCCTTGAACACATCATAGCTCTGTTATGAATTTAATATTTGGAGTTAGATACACACAGATACTCATTTTAGAAATATAATGAAGATTACTCAGAAGAAAATGTTTTCTAGTTATGTGTTTGAGAGAAATCCAAGCACCCACTCTTTCAGTGGATGTTTCTAGAAGGATGCCATGGCTCGAAATTGTCCTGGGTGCTGGCGACACTGCAATGAAGAAGTCAGACAGAGTCTCCATCTCCCCACCCGTGGGACTTACATCCTTGTTGGGAAAGAGACCGGACAAAGCAAATAAACAATAAATAAGATCAGTTTTGATTATAATAGGAAAATAAAACAGGATGACACTGGGGAAGGGCAACATTCAATAGCATTGGCTTCTCTGAGGAGGTGACATGTGAGGTGAGGGCCCATAACAGGGAGTCGTTAGCTGTGCGGACTCAGCTTCAGCTGAAGAAGGAAGAGCCGCAGGAGTAGGGCTGTGGGCAGTCCTCCTCCTGGGATGAAGGTAGCGCAGCCAGCCGTGAGGTGCGGGTGGCCTAGGAAGGAGGCACAGGCCAGAGCAGCCGGGGCTTGCAGACCGTGGGAAGGAGCTGGAATTTTACTTTAGGTGCAACGGGGATCTGCCGGAGCATTTTAGACAGAGCAGGAGCATCATCTCATTGGAGTTTGCAGACATGCAGGCAGTTCAGTGGAGAACACTATGACTGCTCCAGAATTAGGTCTATTAAGATGTTTCAGTGGGAACAGGTGAAGAACGATGGTGGTCACCTGGAGATGGAGCCCTCTGGGATATATTTTGAAGGTAGAATGGAGTGGTTGTGGAGTGAAGAGAGAGAGAGCGGAATCAGAGATGACTAAAGTTGTAGGCTTGAAACATTGAGGTAAAGATGGCTCAGGGAGAACAGTTTTGGGAGGGCTAGTGGGAGAGAGGAATCAAAGCACTTGCTTATTTATTAGATTTTTATTGAGTTCCTCTCATGTGCAGACACTTTTCTAAAAACTGGGAACATAGCAGTGAGCAGAAAAGAAATCTGTGCACTCATGGAACTTGTATTCTCTTCAGAGGGAAAGACAATGAAATAAGCAAGTTTAGCCTGGACAACATAACAAGACCCCATCTCTAAAATTTTTTTAATTAGCTAGGCATGGTGATGTGCACCTGTAGTCCTAGGTACTTGGGAGGCTGAGGTGGGAGGATCACTTGAACCCAGACGTTCAAGGTTGCAGTGAGCTGTGATTGCAGCACTGCATTCCAGCCTGGGCAACAGAGTGAGACCTTGTATCAAAAAAAAAAAAAAAAAAAGCTAAATATGTAGTATATAGAAGAAGATAACACTTGTGTGGAGAAAAATCAAGCGGGAAAGGAAATGGGATTGTTGGGAGAGTCTGCATCAGGAAGGCCTTATTGAGTTGGGGATATCTTTTTTTTTTTTTTTTGAGACAGTATTGCACTGTCACCCAGGCTGGAGTGCAGTAGCATCATCTCAGCTCACTGTAACCTCCACCTCCTAGATTCAAGCGATTCTCCTGCCTCAGCCTCCTGAGTAGCTGGGATTACAGGCGTGTACCACCACGCCTGGCCGAGTTGGGGATATGTGGGTAAATACCTGAAGGAACGTACGAGGACAAACTATGTGGATATACAGGGAAGAGCATTCCAGGCAAAGCGAACAGCAAATGCCATACCCAAGAAGTAAAAGCATGCCTTGGTTTGGCTTGAGACGTGGAATGAACAAAGTGGAGACAATAAGAAATTAGATCAGAAAGGTGAGGGGTGGGAGAGGAGAGAAGGCCATTGTGATGGCTTTGGCTGTTCTGTTGAGTGGATGGGAAGCAGATAGGAGGGTTTCAGCAGAGCAGTGACCTGGTCTGACTTACATTTTAACAGTATCCTCTGGCTGACATTTTGAGAACAGACGAAAGAGGAACAAGAGCAGAATGAGAGGCTTCCTGGGAGGCTCCAGTGATCATCTAGGCAAGAGATCAGAGTAGCTGGGGCCAGAGTCTTAGTAAGTGTGGAGATTAAGTTAGCAGTGGGTGAGCGGACTCTCATAACATTCTTTTTAAAATCATATATTACTTTCCCAAAGAGGAAAAAAATGTTAGACATCATACCAGGTTTTTACTGAAAGTCATAATATAATCAATCCAATTATAATTCTGTTCCTAAGTTACAACCACCTCTAAGAACATCAATGTAAAATGTTTAATCGTGACCTACCGTGACTTCACATCCAATGTAGTGTGAAATATGCAACTTTTTTGTAAATAATGGAGAAGTAATGAATTGTTTTTCTTCTCAGTTATACGATGGGGATAGTGAAAATGCGAACTTGGCTGGAACGTTTTGTGGTTCCACCGTGCCTGCTCCTTTTATCTCTTCTGGTAACTTCCTTACGGTTCAATTCGTCAGTGATTTGGTATTAGAAAGGGAAGGATTTAATGCTACATACACCATCACGGACAGTGAGTAAATAGAAGCATTTTTATAAGTTATGAAATACACATGTATTTATGCACTGAAAAGAATGCCACGCTTATTATATCTAAATTTCAATGTTAATTACTAAACTCAATGTCAATTACTATCTAAACTCAATGTCAACTGCTAAACACCATGTTAATTACTCTATGTTTAATCTGTGGTACAAATTTGATACAATCTTTAGTCAAGGATATAAACCTTGAATTCTTAATAGAGTGATGAAAATATAGCTCCTCTGGGGTGGGAGGCAGGGAAGACAGAATTTTAAAGATTGCCTGAGGCCGGGCGCGGTGGCTCAAGCCTGTAATCCCAGCACTTTGGGAGGCCGAGACGGGTGGATCACGAGGTCAGGAGATCGAGACCAGAAACCCCATCTCTACTAAGAAATACAAAAAAACTAGCCGGGCGAGGTGGCGGGCGCCTGTAGTCCCAGCTACTCGGGAGGCTGAGGCCGGAGAATGGCGTGAACCCGGGAGGCGGAGCTTGCAGTGAGCTGAGATCCGGCCACTGCACTCCAGCCTGGGCTACAGAGCGAGACTCCGTCTCAAAAAAAAAAAAAAAAAAGATTGCCTGAGATGCGACATGAATAAAATGTCTCCTGTGTTGCTTTTTCTTCCTTCCCCAGTGCCTTGTGGTGGAACATACAATGCAACTTGGACCCCAAAAAATATTTCATCACCCAATTCATCAGACCCAGATGTCCCATTTTCCACCTGTACTTGGGTCATTGACGCCCCTCCACATCAGCAGGTCAAGATAACTGTGTGGGCGTTACAGCTGACCTCGCAAGACTGCACGCAGAATTACTTAGAGCTTCAGGACTCACCACAGGTAACAATTATAGGATGAATGACTGTCGCATCTAGTGACCTTTTCACCAGTATTTGCAAAACACTTGAAGTAATGAAGCCATGATTAAATAATTTTCTAAGTTAGTTCCAGCTTAATGTGTTTTTCATCTGTACACAAAGCCCTCCAATCAGGTTTCGAGAAACTTGAACTTGGTCACGTAGGTCCAGAGCTCTCAAAGCTTCATGTGCCTAAGAATGCATTAAGATGCATCTTAAAAGTGCGTCCTCCCTGGCCCACCCTCAGAGACTGAATCCCCATTTATCTGAATTTTTGACAAACACGTCTGGTGTTTTGGTGCCAATACCAGAGCTCCAGAGACCATGCTTGGAGAAATACTTATAGTTAGTGGGATTTACGTATACGTTGAATTGAAAGGGTCAATACAGAACACAAGAGAATCAGTAAAGAGGCTGTTTGGCAGTAGTCTCACAGGTCATAAAAGGCTGGGCATGATGGCTCACGTTTGTAATCCCAGCACTTTGGGAGGCTGAGGCTGGTGGATTACCTGAGGTCAGGAGTTCTAGACCAGCCTGGCCAACGTGGTGAAACCCTGTCTCTACTAAAAATACAAACAATTAGCCAGGTACAGTGGTATGCGCCTATAATCCCAGTTACTTGGGAAACTGAAGCAGAAGAATCGCTTGAACCTGGAACCTGGGAGGCGGACGTTGTGGTGAGCCAAGATCGTGCCACTGCTCTCCAGCCTGGGCGACAGAGCGAGACTTCGTCTCAACAACAAAAAGCCACTTTGAAATTTAAAAAATGCTGAGTCTGAATTTCCTCTGGAATAAGATGTTGAGGATACAGTTGGACACAAAGTGGGATGTTGACCAAAGGCCCAAAGATTTTTGTGAATCATCATTATCATGATAGGTAATTGAAATAATGAGAAGAATGAGATTATCTGGGAAAATATGTAAAGGGAGTGGCCATGAACTGAGGATGGATACTGGGAGAACATCTGAGAATACCTGGATTGTCTTTCTGCAGTTTGGGGAGCAACTAACCCTCCCCAGTTCATTCCAGTAAAATGTCATGGTCAAAGCCCCATATGCTGGACTAGTAGAGTCCCATCTGTCGTCTTCTGAGTTTTCAAGGTCCTCTTCATTATAAATCTGGGGTCCCCTGCTTCTCACGTGGTCTTGCTGGGGAGAGAAAAGTCCAGTTTGTCTGACTCCAGTGTGGAGAGGTGTGAGATGTGCTGACGGCTGAATAGGCCCTGGACTTGCTGAGTTTTGTGCAAAGCATAGACACTGAGATGAGCTCCCAAGGTAGACAAGATGCTAGATTATCATTGTTCTGTTGGTAATTGTCTTCAGGACAAAATCCCTATTACCCAGTGGTACCCTAGAGGACTTAGAGTCAAGCGGAACAAGGCCCTTTGGGTGAAAGCTCTTTCAATTTCCCCGGCTTCATGAAGCTAAGACAATGGGGATCAGGGTGGACCACTAAGTGGGGCACAGAATGGCACTTTCAGGGCACGAGGCACCAGCTGGAACATAACAGCAGCTGGAGCAGCCTCGAGTAAGACCCAGTGTTTGTCATGACTGAATAATGTTTTCCACTGAATGAATACAGGAAACAATAAAGGGTTTCAGACTGGGTAGGTAGGGAGGAAAGACAAACAATGACAGATGAGCCCCGAGAAACTAGGATTCTCGGGGTATCCAAGACTAGACAGAGCTGCCCCAATTGGCAGATCATGAAGGAATGATGTGTAGGGTGGTTACAGAGGATGTACGGTGGTTAGCTGGCATTGGAGATGAACAGAGATGCAGAGATGGAAGTCACTGGGATTAAGAAATACAAAGTGAAGGTGTTTAATGGCTTGTCTGTAAAAACACCAGACAAGCCATTAAAGGGTTCAGAAGGGAAATTGGGGCAGGAGATTACTGTGAGCTGAGACACCTCAAGTCTTTCATAAATGAAGGGAGGTAACTGGGAGAAAAGTAAATGAGAGTGATGAGAATGGTGAGAATATCTTTGGCCAGAGGTAGAGACCCTCGAAGGAAAACCAGCTTTGAGACGAGGATGGAAGCTGCGGTGGGGAATATGGAGCATCCCTCCCTTCCCCTGAGGCTGGCCCCCCACCCTTCCTACTCAATGAACTGTGGAGCATGGGAAAGAACAGCCTCTACCAGGAGGCTGCTGGAGAACCAGGTTTTGCTAAGGACACAAAGTGGAAAGGCAGGGGATGTATACAGAGAATGACTGACAGTGTGTTTAAAGTTCACAGGATACAGCAAAGTTAGACAAGGACCAAGAGCAGGAGACAGTTGGGAGGAGGGGTGGAAGCCCCGAGCAGTTACAGGAGTTTTGCAAGCAGAGACAGGTGAAGTCTTTCAGTAAGTTCCTAAGGACTGCAGCTATTAGAGACATTTCTGTGACAGGGAGGCTGCAAATACCCTGACTTTGGTACAACTTGTTTTTACCCAAGAACTGATGGGCATTCGACTGCATTCACTCCAGGCTTTTGAGAGGTGAGGAGGGTTGCCCTAGTATTACAAAGGGGAACCGGGACCTCATGACAGGCCCTGGCTGGCTTGGGGGATGTGCAGTGGAACCAAAGGCTCTGACTAGATTTGCTAAGGGGCGGCAGGGCTGGATCAGGGCGATGGTGGTGGTTAGTACCATGGAGCTCAGGACAATGGCAAAAGCCCCAGGAGGAGAGATCCAGTGAGCTCTCAAACAGCCCGGCGATCCTCAGAGCAATGGCACAGGCCTCAGCTAGGAAGTCGCATGAGAGGCGAGGGGTCTTGTTTTCAGCAGGGTAGTGTCTGTGGTTTCAGCAAAAACTTTGCCTCCCCTCCTCCCGCCCCTCTGGGAAGGTACAACTTGTGTCTGTTCCAAGCCCAATGTGAGTCTTCTTGCAGAGCCCTTCCAACAACAGAGCTAGTTTTCATGGTTAAATAAGCCATACTTTTATATGCAGTCTAATTTCTGTTATGGCCTGTTCTCTTCTAAAACTAAATCTAACATGATTTGGCTCCCATTTCACTTCAGGGTCACGGAAATTCAAGAATTCAGTTCTGTGGCAGAAATGCTTCAGCTGTGCCAGTGTTTTACTCTTCTATGAGTACTGCAATTGTCATTTTCAAATCTGGAGTTGTAAACAGAAACTCTAGAATGAGTTTCACCTATCAGATAGCAGGTGAGCCCTGGAACTTCAACTTTTATTCAGAAAAGCTGCCATGATCATTACAATTATTCCTAGAATAATTACAATTATTTCTAGAATTGACTCCTGTGAGTAAATTAGGATTTGTTAACAAAAACCACACCCATCTCTTAACTAGAACCCAGGCCCAATTTCGCAAATTGCTAAAGTTGGTTTCTAAAGAGATAAAGAGAATATAATACTAACCAAGATGGTTAGAATGCTAGCATTTTCTTCGAAGTATATAGTTGATTTTAAAAATATACCAGTTGTCTTTTTAATTATCCACTTAACCACATTGAATATACATTTTTATTTACAAGAAATATATATATTTATTTACAAAAGCTTTATCAAAATATAATTCTCATATCATACAATTTACTCATTTAAAGTTTATATTTCAAAGGTTTTTAGTATTTTCACAAAATTGAAAATCACAAAATTGAAAATCTTAGAAAATTATTTTGTAAAAATAAAAAATCCTTGAAAGGGCTACCTGATTACTATCACTGAGAAGTTTATTTTCACAGAACACTTTATTTAGTACTTATTTTGAACTGATTCAAATGAAAGCTGCCTTTGGTTAAAACAAACAAAAGTACTTTTGGTATTTTTTTTTACCAAAAACAAACATAAAAAAGGTAGAGAATGATGTGCCACAAATAACTCACCAATGGATTTAAAATCCTTGTGCAAAACTCGGTCTTGGAGGTAGCGTCCTTGCTGAAAAGAGAGTCTGAATGCTAGCCACTTCCACCTCCGTGTGATCAGAAAAGTTCAAAGGATGCTCGAGTATTCGTCTTTAAAGGAGAAGCCTCCTGTGTCGTGCTTCCGTAGGGGTTTTTTGTGAACGAGCTGCTGCATTGCACCTGTGTGTGCCGCTTGCCATTCACTTCACTGCTCAGGGTCTCAATTAGCTCAAAGATAAACAAAGAAGCTGGATTACTTTTTTCTAAAGTGTGTTTAAATGTAATGATCTTTTTGAATGATTCCTGTGAAGTTGAAAGAGCACTACATACTGGAATGCATACATTAATTATGCATATTTTCCCTCTAAGATTGCAACAGAGACTATCACAAGGCATTTGGCAACCTGAGGAGCCCTGGATGGCCAGATAACTATAACAATGGCATGGATTGCACCATTACTGTCACGGCCCCCCAGAACCACACCATTTCTCTCTTTTTTCATTCATTTGGCATCGAGAACTCAGTTGGATGCAGAAACGATTTCTTGGAGGTAACATGCATTTGAATATCATTTGAATGAATTATTTAAAAGATGATGGATCACTTAAGATTTTACATCTTTTCTCTAGTGCTGCGAATACTATACGATTCTTATTTGTTTCATTAATTTATTCATTACCCTTTTATTCCCTAAACCTTTATAGAGCACCAGTCCAAACAGCAGAAATTGGGAACCTCAGGGCCCTCAGGAGACTCCTAGTCTGGTGGGAAGGACAGATGGGGTATAGCCAATTACAGTACAATGTGTAAAGGACTAACTGGGTCCAGCATGGGTAGGAGTCCCTAACTCAGTCTGGGAATTAGAAGGCTTAAGAGAGCAATATGTAAGTTGAGACATAAAAGGATCAGAGGGAAGTCTAAGGACAACATGCTGATTCTTCACATGAAACTGAATGATACCAAATAGCTCACGTCATTTCCCTGGCAGCTACAGTAAGTTTGGGGCATTGTCAACATCCTCTAAAGACAAGTGTTTCCTTGAATAAGTGCTCCCTGGTCACAGGAGGTGTGCTCTGTCCTTTCTCCACAACTCCAGAGCTTGAATTTGGGCACAGAAGTGACTTTGCTGTTTGCCCATCCTCCACCCACCCACCCTCCACTCCCACCCCAGGACACACAGAGAGAAGTCCCCCTTGCACCTGGAGCAGGCAGAGCCATGCGCCTCTTGGGCTTGAACCTTTGGGGTCCTCCAGTGCCCCCGATGAACTCCCTCTGTGCTCTTTCTGCGCCATCGCCTGCATTGGGCATGTGAGATGGGACATGAACATCATTGCTCATAGGCAGGAGACAGTCTGAATAAGCCTCATCTGATGTGGACCCAGTGTGTAGAACTCAGCACCTGTGTTTTGCCAGAAAACCCCAGAGCTCACGGGGTTGTAGGCTTTGCAAGCTCTGTTGAAAATGCATTCATCCTTAGGAAATGTACTTAGGTGGAACCTAAGAGCCAAGAGCATAAGGATGCTGAATTCTTCTATGAGTGGAGTTTAAATCTAAACCTCATCCTGACCGTCTCTCAATTGGCTTTGTTTCACCACACAAGAGTCTTCAGTAAAGTTTCCAAAAAGTGTACTTGTTCGTCTACACCTGATCTGGAGTTGTATTTTTTATTTTATTTTTTTTCTCACTGCCTCTTTGATCAGGACTTCATTCAAAATAAGCTGCCCAAGATGATTTGATCTTTGTAGCATAAACAAATGTACCAGTGTATGCAGCAGGCTCCTTTCCTTCTGTGGGAGGATTCTTTCCAGCGGGCTTCTGTTCAGCTGCTAGTTTCTTGGTAGCTTCAGCCTTTGTGCTCAACAAAACGTCTTCAGCTTCTTAGCACCAAGGGCCTTCTTTCTTTTCTTTCTTCCTTCTTTCCTCCCCTGCAGCCCCCTCATCTGATTTGGCTTCTAGGGCTGCTGTCACCTTCTGCCCAGCCTGGCCAGGAAGGGTGTCCCGGCACATGGTCTTTGCATATGGGTTTAGCTTCAACATGATTCCTGATGCAGAGTTTTATCATCCTGGAAAACTCTCCCCTTTGGAATTCATCTAAATCCTTTATTAATCAATAGCCTTAACATATAGCGCTATAAATAACACTCAGAGGAAGCTCATGCCTTTTCTAAAGGAATACTCGCCATGACAGGAGACCAAAAGATGTATGTAGCAAGAAGGAAATGAAGAGACAAATACAGTTATTCTTTGTGCCGGTCAGGTTATTCAGCTTGGACCTATGTACCTCCCCCACCATGGAGATCCAAATATTTATATGAAGTGTAAAGCAGAAAGAATGAGGGGAGTGGGATCTGGAGGAAAGATGGAATAATCTCGTTAGGTTGGAGTCACAGTGCAAGTAACTCTTAACTCATTCCAGCTTGAATGGACCATTATTGATCAGAGTCAGCATTTGCCATTTGCCTGATAGATGCTGGGAAGCAAAGCCTTGCTTTCCAGCCATGGAGAGTGAGAACTCCTCCTCCTAGCTGTCCTTCATCACTCCACAGAATGGATCTGAAACTTCCTGTCCCATAAGCAAAGAAAGGAAACCACCACTTAGCCCTCTAAAATGTGGCTCCATCTGGCTCTCAGTGGGAAGACTGTAGGCATAGTTTCTCGTCAGTTGTACCAGGAAGCCTCAGCATTCCGTTCTTGTGAACTGCAGTGGGAACGGAAATGTCTGACTGAGGATTCTTACTGTGTTACTCCCAAGCGAGGGCTGAGCTCTAGACCATGCTTGGAATCTGCTAGTGTTTTCCTGCCTTCACCTCCCCTTTCAGGATCCTCTGATGTCCCAGAGATGCCTGCTGCTCTCGGTGGTCCCATTCCTCCTAGGAGAGGACGGTGAATAAGACAAGTTATCAGCAATGTCAGTGGAAATTTGTATCTCGCTGCTCCTCTCAGAGCAACGGCATTCTAAAAGAGGATCCCAAGGGAAAAACACCCAAACTCAAGAGCATGGTGCTGGCAGGTCTTATATATGGCAGCCCTCCCATCTTCTAGCAGATGACTGGCTACTCTGTCATGGCAAGGCTACTTTGTTTAAACCCATAGCAGAATAATCCCCAAAGCACTAAAAAGGCATTATTCTCTCCCATGGGCTACTACATAGACCTAAAAGGAATCTCACCTGATCAACACAGCCCAGCAAGATGTCTTAACTCTGTGACTTAAGATACCAGCAATTAACCAATTAACCAAAGTTTAAACCATGGAATTATAAAGGGAACAGAGGAACTTCCAGTATTTTGAATACATAGATCAGTAAAATCAGCATTTCCACATGCCAGTCTGGTTCCAACATACATTGCCTGTGTAACGTTTCTGTAAGAAGCGTCAAGAGCCCCCCTGGAAGAAGGGCTGGTTGTGAATGCAGGGTAGGAGCCAGGCTGGGGGACAGAAAGTGGTTCAGTTCACAGTGTGGTTCTGTCTCCCCATAAAAACACCGAAGCTGGTGGGGCGCAACCGGGGGTGGGGGAGGAAGTGAAAGAACCACACAGCAGAGAGGCAAAAGACAGCACAGAGACATGGCGGCGGCCGGCACCGGCAGAGAGCCCTGGCGCGCGGCGTCACTGTGTGTATACTCGCATCCGCACTCACTGCGGTCGAGCAGAAAGAAGGCATGATGCAAACAACGACTTTCTATTTCCCACAGGTAACTTCTACTCAGTACCGTTGTTTTCTGAATATTCTTTCTATTTACGCCGCCTGCTTGGTCGCCCTACGGGCAGTTCGATTAAAAGTTCAGTTGGAGATGTGTCCTTGAGATGAGCCCGTATCTGATCTTCAGCATACTGGTGTTCAAAGGCCCCTGCACCAACTCATCTCCTGTCTTTATATGTGTCTACTCAAAAATAAGTTGAAAACGAAAAAAGCAACCGAGCCAGGCCTCGGAACGTGATTGTAAAACACATTTAACAACAAGACTATTGTAGTAGGATTTATAACTCCGTGTCTTGCCCATATAGAGAATTCCTTCGTTCTGAACTTCGGGGTGATACTGGTGATTGTATTTCTCATGAGGCCGCTCTTATAGGCCAAGTAGATTTTAATTAGAGAACACGGTGCACACCGAACACTGAAAAAGTAATAGGTGAGCGGAAACAGAGCAGGCAGACATTTCCCGCACCATCCCCACCTTTTAAAATGTCGGACTTCGTTACGCGTACAGTTCTCGAAAATGTTGTGTCTCATAAGCAAAGGCTGCAGGATCACAGCACAGGACTATCGCATAAAAAGCTGCCTGGTGTTTCAATGGACTATATTAACAGAATTCGCCATCCACTGCAAATGTTTTTAGATCTAGCGACGTGGAACATTTTCCCCTTGCAGGTGAAGGTGACCTCTGCATGTATTTTCAGAAAACCAAACGGTCATTCTGCTACACTATTAGGAAAAGACCAAAGCTTTTCCAAAAGTTGCGCATGCCAATTGTCTCCGCATATTAATTATGGTACCTTAGAGAAGAAAGTGTAAGGTTAATAATGAATGATCCTCCGTAAAGGTGAGATAATGGAAGTAAGCAGCACACTGCCACCATTACTGGCAAGTACTGTGGAACCCTACCACAACGCCTGTCTCTCTCAAAATAATGCCACTATACCTACGCGGATTAAGGGTGACAGTGTAACTCTGATCGCGATATGAAATCATCTGGACTCATACCCGTCTGGTAAAACATTTGCACTTTACGGGAAAGCCGAGTGTGAGAAAACGCGATTGAGGGTATCTTCATATGAAAAAGCAGAGAGTAACCTATATTTTAGCTATGCTTGGTACCTGATTGAGTTTAGTTAAGAATCTAGACATTTTTAACCAGAAAATACAAGATTACTTTTTTTTCTTTGGGAAATGGAGTCTCGCTCTGTCACCCAGGCTGGAGTGCAGTGGTGTGATCTTGGCTCACTGCAACCTCCACCTGCTGGGTTCAAGTGATTCTCCTACCTCAGTCTCCCAAGTAGCTGAGATTACAGGCATACGCCACCATGCCCAGCTAATGTTTGTATTTTTAGTAGAGACAGGGTTTCCCCATATTGGCCAGGCTGGTCTCAAACTCCTGACCTCAGGTGATCCACCCGTGTCAGCCTCTCAAAGTGCTGGGATTACAGGCATGAGCCACCGCGCCTGGCCAGATTACTTTAAATTCTACATTTATTCATTATTTCTGTTTATAAAAGAATATATATTGATATATGAAGCATATATAAGGTAAGGTGTGAAGATTTAAAGATTCCTTGGTAAATTAAATTTTGTTAGACTTTTTGACTAAGGAAGTTATTTGAGAATTTAAAGAAAAACTTTTACCAAAAATCCAACTTATGAACACATTCTGGCATATATAGAAGTGGTTGTGCTTCTCACAGGCCCTGACATTTCCTGGCGGTGCTGGAGAGAAATTGCTTTTGTAGGGTAGTAAGTATCTTCTTGCATTTTTGGTTGGCTGTTTATCAAACAACTAAAGAAAATTTAAGTCATGTCAATACATTTAATACAAGAGAGGAGAAATACCTTTATGAAATGTCCCAAAATACCAAAATACCTTCAAAATAAGAAAGATAAACAGAACTCATTTTAAATATCTTAAGAAAAGGGTTCTATTAAGACAATTGTGGTAACGGAATCTTGGCACCCAAAGGAAGCTTAAAGATAACCTCCAATGCTCAAATTTTATTGACGAGCAAATAAAACACCAAGATTAAGCTAGGTGCTCTGGCTCACGCCTATAATCCCTGGGAGACCAAGGTGGGTGGATCACCTGAGGTCAGGAGTTCTAGACCAGTGTGGTCCACATGGTGAAACCCCGTCTCCACTAAAAATACAAAAATTAACTGGGTGTAGATCCCAGCTACTGGGGAGGCTGAGAATGGAGAATCACTTCAACTTAGGAGATGGAGGCTGTAGTGAGCCGAGATCACACCACTGCACTCCAGCCTGGGTGACAGAGCAAGACTCCGTCAAAAAACAAAACAAAACAAAACAAAACAAAACAAAACAAAACACAAAACACCATGGACCCGGGAGGCAGAGCTTGAAGTGAGCCAAGATCGTGCCACTGCACTCCAGCCTGGGCGACAGAGCAAGACTCCATCTCAAAAAACAAAAACAAAAACAGAACCCACCAAGATTAATGAGTTGCCCAAAATGCTCCACTAGACTGAGATGGAGGTGGGATTAGGTCGTGGTGGTCAGAGGCCCAGCCACCTGCTCTGGAACTATACCAGCTAGCTTCTTCCTGTCCCGGAGATGACCTGGATCTCCACAGATAGGCAGTCTAAATCATGACAGCCTTCATATACAGATTAGCAAATGGAACAAATTTACACCAAAACTTGAAGTATTCGACCTTAAGTATGTCAGTTATTAGCCCAGTAAAGTCACTGTTATAATGAAGTCATTCCTGCCACCACCTACAATAACACACTCCCTCTTGGTTTAGTGCTGAATTTTACTTCTAATTTTACATCACTCGCATCATTAGCATCAACTCAGGGCACCCAAACATCTCTACACCATCGAAAGCACACAGAGAACAACTTGATTTTCTTCCGCAGTTTATCAAGGTTTTTTTTTTTTTTTTTTTTTTCCATTCTGTTCTCAACACCCAGTTTTAAAGTACAGTCCTGGAGGAAGTTGTTCCCGGGTGGTGAAATGCACGCAAAGGCACATGTGTGGAGGATGGAAGAGGTGGAGGTGGCAATGGGAAGACAGGGGAAGGGAGGAGAAAGGGTGCAGCCCAAAGAAGAGGAACAGGAAAAGGGGTTTCTGCCTCCATTATTCTCGCAGAGAGTCTCAGCACCTTAAGAAAATAAAATCGTATTGCCTCACAAGCCAGACTGGACGGCTTATATGTTGTTGAATCAAACTTCCTGTTCTGTTTTCCTTGCAGGATGTGGTGGAACTCTTTATGGAGACAGAGGCTCATTCACCAGCCCTGGCTATCCAGGCACGTACCCAAACAACACGCACTGTGAGTGGGCCCTAGTGGCTCCTGCTGGAAGGCTTGTCACCATCAACTTCTACTTTATCAGCATTGACGATCCAGGAGACTGTGTACAGAACTATCTCACACTCTACGATGGGCCCAACGCCAGCTCTCCATCCTCTGGACCATACTGTGGAGGCGTGAGTAAAACACACATTTTATATTCCCATTTGTTGTTTTTAGACAATGAGAGTCACTTAGTGTAGACTTTTTTTTTTTTTTTTTTGAGACGGAATTTCGCTCGTCACCCAGACTGGAGTGCAGTGGCACGCAATCTCGGCTCACTGCAACCTCGCCTCCCAGGTTCAAGCAATTCTGCCTCAGCCTCCTGAGTAGCTGGGATTACAGGCGCCAGCTGTGTGCTTTCTGTGCATCACGCCACCACGCCCGGCTAATTTTTGTACTTTTAGTAGAGACGGGGTTTCGCCATGTTGACCAGGCTGGTCTCGAACTTCTGACATCAGGTGATCTGCCCGCTTCGGCCTCCGAAAGTGCTGGGATTACAGGGGTGAGCCACTGCTCCCGGCCTAGTGTAGACTTCTAAAGGCAGACACTTGCAGAGTAGGAAGCACAGCCTTTAACAAATTGAGCAGTTTTCCGACTTGCCTTTCTATTCTGGGAGCATGAGTGCCATCTGGTGGACATTGCGTTAAATTGCTATTAAGAGTTACCAAAATCGGCTCTGTGTCAGATCACCTGTGGAGTTACTTACATTAGACTTCCAGTTCCCACCAAAACCCACTGAATCGGGATTTCCCAAGGAGGAGTCACAACATGCTGTTTTTTTTAAAAAAGCTCCTTCTGTGACGTCAGTGCACTGCCTAGGGTTGAATACCCATGTTTATTTCTGCATAAATAGAACTATAGAAAATGTGGACACCGGGCTCTATTTTATCTACTTCTTGCTGAAAACTGCAGTAATTATTTGAAGAAATGGTGACTGATAGTTTGTTTTTGTAAAGCTCTGGTATCTTCCCTAAACAACAACTCAGAATCTGACGTTGATTCAATATTGCAGGCATCTGTGCTTACGATCCTCTTATTTGATGTGCAAGTAGATATTTAAAGACAGTAAAGGCTCACACCTGTAATCCCAACACTTTGAGAGGCCCAGGCAGGTGGATCACTTGAGGTCAGAAGTTTGAGACGAGACTGGCCAACATGGGGAAATCCTGTCTCTACTAAAAATACAAAAGTTAGCTGGCATAGTGGCACACGCCTGTAATCCCAGCTACTAGCGAGGCTGAGGCAAAAGAATTGCTTGAGCCCGGGAGGCAGAAGTTGCAGTGAGCTGAGATGGCGCCACTCCACTCCAACCTGGGCAACAGAGCCAGACTCAATCTCAAAAAACAAGAGAGTAAGTAAGGGAAAATTGGCTGTTGGCAAGTGGGTATCTGTTTCTGATTTTTCTGCCGTTTAATCATCTTAGGCTTTGTAACCAAACTAGACAGAAAACTGTATCAGCTGGAAATCTAGATGGTTTTTAAAATAATAACTTACTGTTTATAAAATTGATAAATGCTGTTTTCAGAAGTATCAGAAAATAGACTAATTTTTCTAAAACCCTGGGCATTCTCATATATTCTTAACACCTTTCTTTGAATATATTTGCATATATTTTTCATGCACATTTTTTACTGTTTGATGGTGTGTTTTTTCCACTTACCACTATATCATTAGTATCTTATATCAATAAAAACACTGGTGCATCATATTTAAGTTTTGGAGAGTATTCCATTGCATGAGTGTGGCCTAATTTATTTAACGAAGCCCCTCTAAGTGGACATTTAGGTCTCTTCAACTTTTTGCAACTACAGACAACACTTAATAAACTTTTTGGTAGTGATATCTTTATACATATAGTTATATTACTTGGTGAGAAATGGTAATCGCAGGACCAGCAGACACTGTATTACGGGGATGCACAGAAAGCACACAGAGAGAGACCCCAGTAAATGTGCCACACATCAGATTTAGAAGCTAATCAGCTCTTAGACATTGAATTGAAATTTACAAACATTTCAAAAGGGAGGAAAAGAGACAATTTTAACAATACAGTGACTTTATATTGGTGGGTTTTTTTGTGTGTGTGGGCGTGGTTTTCAGCGGCTTGCAAACATACAACCCCATTTGATCCCCAGAGTGACAATACCATAAGGTGGAAAGAACAAGTATATCCTGGTCTTGTATAAACCGAGTCCAGGTTTTTACTGAACAAGTATAAACCGAGTCACTGAGAGAAGTGACAGCCATTTAATCCAATGCCACGTTAAGTTGAAATATATAGCGAGATATATCAATTTTTTAAACTGTTGGTGTTCACAGTATTTTCCCAATTTTACATTTTCTTTTATGAATGTGGATATAATTTCACGTGTAATTGTTTTTTTTCTTAAAGGTACCACCGATTTCTTTAACACTTTATAAATGTTAAACATAAATGAAAAAATGTAAAACATAAGTATAAAACATGAGGTCAATTTACATACAGACGTAGCTCTTATTTTGCTAATATTTACATACTTACAACTTTTTGTAAGTGTAATATTTTGCTAATATTTACATACATACAACTTTTACATTTTACATACATATTTACATGTATATTTACATACATACAAAAGTTTACAACTTTTGTATGTATACTCCTTTGGTATACAATTCAACTTTTTATATATGTAAATATGCATGCAAATATGTATGTTAAATGTAAATTTGTAATATTTACATATATACAATATTTACATACATACAATTTACATACAGAGGTAGCTCCTCATTTTGCTAATATAAACACAAACCATGATTTGGAGATATTTTATATTATGGTAAATACCATTGTTCACAGGGAAATCCTATATCCCTTGCAGCTACAGAATATGAACATCTAGCAAATGAAAGAGTAACGGGAAAAACAAGGAGAATCAAAGGGGATTCTAAAACTTCTGTTGACTGTCCATACTAGTTTGTCAATATAAAATAAGTTGTTGACATTTGGAAGCATTTTAAAATGGAAGTAAAAAGTAGACGTGCATAGGAATAAAAATATGGTATATTCCTTGATGTATCTCTTACAGAGAAAAATCTACACTCACTTGAGTAAGTGAGTGTCTTGGAAATAAGTCTGTGTTTTGGTGACTTGGGGTAGGGCTGAGGTAGGAAAAGCCAGGAATGTAAGCATCGTGAGAGCAGGGCGTTTTGCCTGTTTTGCTCATTTTTTAATGTCCCTACTACTAAAACCAATACCTGCAGCATGGCAGTGCCTTGATCAATATTTGCCAAATGAATGACTAGAAAGTGAGAGACAACAGGGACACATCTATCCCCCCAACACACACACAAACACACACTGTTCCACAGAAGTATATGAAAATAAATCTCAAGAGGAAACTACAAACATTGAGGATGAAAATAGCATGTTTTACTTAATATAATCATTTTAATTTCATATGTGTTTCAGAAAAATTAAATTTGCAGTAAGAACTTGAATAAGAAGTTCAAATGTTTTGATAACAGTTTTATTGAGATATAGTTTATAGACCATACATTTACATACAATTTACATACCATATAATTCATCTCCTTTTTTTTTTTTTAATTTTTAATTTTTTTTTGAGACGGAGTCTCGCTCTGTCGCCCAGGCTACAGTGCAGTGGCCGGATCTCAGTTCACTGCAAGCTTCGCCTCCTGGGTTCACGCCATTCTCCTGCCTCAGGCTCCCGAGTAGCTGGGACTACAGGCGCCCGCCACCTCGCCCGGCTAGTTTTTTGTATTTTTTAGTAGAGATGGGGTTTCACCGTATTAGCCAGGCTGGTCTCGATCTCCTGACCTCGTGATCTGCCCGTCTCGGCCTCCCAAAGTGCTGGGATTACAGGCTTCAGCCACCGTGCCCGGCCCAGTTCATCTCCTTAAAGTATACAATTCAGTGGTTTTTAGTAGATTCACAGAGCTGTGTGCCCATTATCAGCACAGCCAATTTTGGGACACTTTCATTACTCATTACCCCCCAAAAGAAACCCTGTACCCATTAGCAGTCCTTCCCCATTTTCCCTCAACTCCCCACGCCCAGAAATATTCCTTTGTAAAGTATTTGCATTCATTCTTGGCAAGGTTACTTCAAGAAATATATGCAGGTTCACCGTAAATTCTATAAAGTTTCTTTATGTGGTACTTTGTTTCTAGGCTAACATTTCTAGAAAAACGTTCAAATATGTGAAACATATAATTTGATACTTTTTGTTTTTTCAATTTTAGGACACCAGCATAGCCCCCTTCGTGGCTTCCTCAAATCAGGTCTTCATAAAATTTCATGCTGAGTATGCGCGGCATCCCTCCGCTTTCCAATTAACTTGGCACAGCTAAGCGGGTAACAACTCATGTTCACTCAGCACTTCCCCTCTGCAGCACGCTGGACAGGACTCCGCCATCTTTATACACGACCCCTGCTGATGCCACAGAGAATAAGCTGAACTTTTATGGTTTTCACCAAACCATGGATAGAATGGATATTTGTAGGCCAGGCACGGTGGCTCACGCCCCTGTATTCTCAGCACTTTGGGAGGCCGAGGCAGGTGGATCACCTGCGGTCAGGAGTTTAAGACCAGTCTGGCCAACACGGTGAAACCCCATCTCTACTAAAAATACAAAAATTAGCCAGGCGTGGTGGCATGCTCCTGTGGTTCCAGCTACACAGGAGGCTGAGGTGGAGGATCACTTGAGCCCAGGGAGCAGAGGTTGCAGTGAGCTGGGATCACACCACTGCACTCCAGCCTGGGCAACACAGCGAGACTCCATCTCAAAAAAAAAAAAAAAAAGAATCAATATTTGTACATTTTCTCGAACATAGAACATAGCTGCTTTAGTCTTGAGTGTGCATTTCATTCTAATATTTTGAGCTGAAATTTAAAAAAACTTTGAAAGACTTGGAAATGATTATGGCATATATGATATACATTTTTAAAAGTTAATAATAATAGCCAGGGGCAGTGGCTCATACCTGTAATCCCAGCACACTGGGAGGCCATGGTGGGAGGATTGCTTGAACCTAGGAGTTTGAGACCAGCCTGGGCAACAAAGTGAGACCTTATTTCTACAAAAAATCAAAAAATTAGCCAGGCATGGTGGCATGCTCCTGTGGTTCCAGCTACACAGGAGGTTGAAGCAGGAGGATCACTTGAGCCCAGTAGGTTAAGGCTGCAGTGAAACCCTGTGAATTAACCATGGTACTCCAGCCTGGGCAACAGACTGAGACCCTATCTCATAAACGACAACAAGAACAACAAAAGTTAATCATAATATAGAAGCACAAATTTCTTGTGAATGTTCAATTAGGCATAATAAACATTATTGAATTGTACACAATTATGCTGCATTAATTTTTTGACTTATTAAAACTCTTTCACTATGGGGCATATATAAATTTTCAAGTTTAATTTTTATATTTTGGCAAAGAATTCAATATATATATGAATCTTCCAGAGCATCAGTTCTGGAACCAAGCTGCCTGAGTTTGAATTTTGACTGTACTAGTTAAGTGCTTACATAATCTCTCTGTGCTCAGTTTCTTCATTTGTATAATGGGATTATTTTACCTGTCTCACAGGGTTGCGATAATTAAGTATATATGTATAAGGACTCAGAACAATACCTGATGCATATCAGGTAATTAGTAAATGCTAGCTTCTATGTCAATTAGTAGTAGTAAGACTCACCTCCCTACCATACAGACGTACCTGCTTTTCCCATACTCTCCAAAGCCAGGCCCAAGTCTCACCTATGTTTACCTTTTGCCATGCCCTTAGGTCAATCTGAGCTTCTCCAAAGACCTTGCCTTAACTAAAGAGAAATTTGCTATAACCTCTGAATTCTCTATTTCCCTCCCATTTGCCTCAAACTTCTGTTTCTCCTGGCCATGCTGAGAAACATTTCTTCATTTATCCCCAGGACCCTGTACTCTCCCGGTAATTTAATTTCTCTGAGTATTCTCCACTCTCCTGTAGAACAGTGGCCCTCTTCACACAGCTCCACTAGGCGGTGCCCCAGTAGGAACTCAGTGTGGTGCATCCAACCCTGCCTTTCCCTGTTACACTGCCCTAGTAGAGGTTTGGCCTCTACCCCTGCAGAAGGCTTCTTCCTGAAAACCCAGCTTTTTCCATACCACCTCCGAAATCTAGGCAGAAGCTGCCAGGAATCTACCACTCTTGTACTCTGTGTGCCTGCAGGTTTAACAGCACGTGGAAGCTGCCAAGGCTTGTGGCTTTCATTCTCCAAAGCAGCAGCCCAAGCTTTACCTGGGCCCCTTTGAGCCATAGCTGGAGCTGGAGTGACCAGGGTGTGGGGAGCCCTGTCTTGAGGCTGTGCAGGCAAGCAGGGCCCTGGGCCTGGCCCATGAAATCATTCTTTCTCCTAGGCCTCTGGGCCTGTGATGGGAGGGGTTTCAGCAAAGGTTTCCGAAATGCCTTTGGGGCCCTTTCTCCATTATCTTGGATATTAGCAGTTGACTCCCTTTTAGTTATGCAAATTATCTCTAGCAAGTGGATGCTCCACAGCCTGCTTGAATTCCTCTCCTGAAAAAGCTTTTTCTTTCTCTGCCATATGGCCAGGCTGTAAATCTTCCAAATTTTTACATTCCGCTTTCCTTTTTAATATAAGTTCCAATTTAAAGTCATTTCTTTGCTCCCACATCTGAGCACATGCTATATTAGAAGTAGCCAGCCCAAATCTTGAACACTTTGCTGCTTAGCAATTTTTTCCACCAGATACCCCAGGTTGCCACTCTTTAGTTCAAACTTCCATAGATCCCTAGGACATGGACAGAATGCAGCAAAGCTCTTTGCTAAGGCATAATATGTGTCACCTTTGCTCCAGTTCCCACTAAGTTCCTCATTACCATCCAAGACCTGGGCAGCCTGGACATCATTATCCATATCACTATCAGAATTTTAGTCACAACTTTTAACCAGTCTCTAAGAAGTTCCAATTTTTCCCTCATCTTTCTGTCTTCTGAGCCCTCCAAACTCTTCCAACCTCTACCCATTACCTTGTTCCAAAGTCAGTTCCACATTTTCAGATATCTTTATAACAAAACCCCACTCCTGGTACCAATTTTCTGTTTTAGCTCATTCTTGCATTACTATAAAGAAATACCTGAGACTGGGTAATTTATAAAGAAAAGAGGTTTAATCGGTTCACAGTTCTGTAGGCTTTATAGGAAACATGGTGCTGACATCTACTTGGCTTCTGGGGTGGCTTTGGGAAGCTTATAATCATGGAAGAAGGCGAAGGGGAAACAGGCATGTCACATGGTGAAAGCAGGAGCAAGACAGTGAGAGTAGGGGGCAGGTGCCACACAGTTTTGTGACCAGATCTCATGTGAACTCAGAGCGAGAGTTATCACCAAGGGGATGGTCCAAGCCATCCATGAGGGATCCACCCCCATGATCTAAACACCTCCCACCAGGCCCATCTCCAACACTGGGTGTTACAACTCAACATGAGATCTGCACAAGGACAAATACCCAAACTCTATGATATATTTATGCTCGACCATTGCCTATTCCTTAACACAATATGTTAAGTGAAAATAAACATTATGGTTTGCCATTTAACCAGAAGTAGAAAGTTCAACAGCACATCCTCATCTCCAATGCTGCCAGACATGTAACTAGGTGAGGTAGATATGAGCTTCCTTTTCATAAGAAAATTCAAATGCTTTTATAAAGTTTTTCACTGCCTCTAGAAAAGCAGAAGCCTTTACAAAGGAGATTTGCTTTATGTTAATTATGCAAAATCAAGGGTTATTAAGAACATGAGACCAAGTGAATGAAAGAAGCTGAGGAATATATCACTTCATCTTACTCTAATACTCAAATGCCAGAGAAATTATTTCTGGACAGAGTATGGAGCCACATAAATAAAACACTCTCACCTTAAAAATTCAGCTACTTGGGAGGCTGAGGCAGGAGAATCACTTGAGCCTGGGAGGCGGAGGTTTCAGTGAGCCAACATCGTGCCACTGCACTCCAGTGTGGGTTACAGAGTGAGACTCCATCTCAAAAAAACAAACAACAACAACAAAAATTCCTGCTCCTTTTTTGTATTATGGATAGATATATCAACTTTATGGGTGACAATTCTATTGGAAAGGATGGTGAATGCAATGAATAACACCATCAAATCCAAAAGGTCTTGATAAGCTAGTAACAATGGGCCAATTGTAACAGATGAAATGTGACAGATATGAGATCTTCCTCTTTTATCAAAAAATGAATTGCAAAGCTACGGAATCCAGGGAAAGTTTAACAATAACATGAAATAACATAGTACTTTTCTGAAAGCAAGATTAACATGATGTCGCTGTCAAAAAAATGATGCTTTGATCATGGACTGCATCATTAGAGTAACGGTATCATTTCCACTCAGAAGGGCATGCTTTTCTAGGAGGCATATTGGAATATCTGGGAGATGTGTACCTGAAATTGAGGAAAGCATATTTTAAAATTAAAAATACAGAAAAAAGAGACAAAATGAAGCTTTACAAAATCTTCCAGGCTAGGCATCTAGGAAACAAGCAGTGATTCTTTAGTGGGTTAGGGGATGGTCAGGTTTGGGAGAATGATATTTTCATGTATAGCAAAGGGAAGTAGTTATTGAGTAATTCAGTGTTTGAGTAATTCAGCTGGAAGAAGGAGAAAAGAGTCGACTCTACTCTCATTAGTGAGACCCATCGTATATCCTCTGGTTCTGCTTTACATTTAATTCGCTTGTTTCCAAATGTTTATTGAGCATCAGCTATGTGACATGTACTAAATGCACTGAGGATAAAGCAGAGAACAAGACAGCCATACAAGACTATCAGCTGATGTCTCCTGACCTCACAAAGCACACTTCCCAGCTCCATCTGCTTGATTTCCTGAGCCAGTCCCGAAGCAAAAACCTTAATATTCTTATCTGGTGAAGCATACATTGAGCCAGCTTCCCGGATCTAATGGCCAAGGGATAAGTTTCCTGATTCCAAATTGTGTCACCATGAAGTTTCACTGCTTGCAATCAGGACCCTGAACAGACTAACAATCATCCTAGCAAATTCATCAAACCTGAGTTTGGGTGTGGGAACCCTGACTGACAGCTGGTCAGTCAGAAGTATAGGTGACAGTCAACCTAAATTGTTGTGGAAATGAACACTTGTGGGATTTGACTGTAAGTTGAGGTAGACAGTATCAGAATTCAGTTCAACTGTAAGACACCTAGGTGGTGTCTGCTGGAGAATTGTTTCACGTGTGGGGGAATCTCTGGTGTCAGAAATGTTGAGCCTGTGAGAGTAGCAGAAACAGTTTGGTTTTTCCTGTCTCAAACAGGAGTGAAAACAAATTCCTATGAAACAGGAGTGAATGGGGGCATGCAGCTCAAAATAACTTCGAGAGAGAAATGCAGGAGGGCTGGGACTGTTTCTGTTTCAGGTGTTATCTGGATATGGGGCTGGCAGGTGCAGTGTGAGGGGCTAAAACCAAAGTCACAAGTTGCCCTAACTGGCACTCACAATCCACTGTTTTCCTCCACCCCCAAAAGGTAGCCAGGTGATGACCTGCAAGCATTACGCTGGGTTCTTACTTCTAAAGAAATTCAACTGTCAGTCTAGGGATCTAGGAGGAAAACAATACACACAAACAAGAGACCACTCCAGCTATCTAGAAAAGCCAGTTCAGATCTTCACACTTGAACTCAAAAGGACAACCAAGAATCCATCACCAGAGAGGGGAAGAATCTTTCTTTTCTAAGGGAAAGACTAGATAAATACACATAAGAATGGACTCCTGAAGAAACATAACTGGGTGAACAGAAGAGAGGTTTAAAAACTATTATCCTCAGTGATACTTGAGAAAAGAGTACATTCATGAAACAAACGCAGGGTGTTATTATAGAGAAGACTGCCACTGGCAGTCCAATAGGACTGGTGTCCTTAGAAGAGGAAGAGACACCAAGGGTGTGATTGCACAGAGAAAATGCCCTGGAGGGACACCAAGAGAAGACAGTCATCCACAAGGCAAGGGGAGAGGCCACAGGATAAATCAAATCTGCTGGCACCTTCATCTTGAACTTCCAGGATTGTGAGAAATTTCTGTCGTTTAAGCCATCCAGGCTGTGGAATATTGTTACGACAGCACTAGCCGACTAACACAGGAACTAATGTCTTCAGCCTACATAGTCAAGATTCACTATTAGAAATTGCTGGAACAAGAAAAATTCTGATTTTTTCAAAACAGGACCTTTGCTTTAAAAGAGTTAATGATTCGAGAAATAAATATGTTAGGAGATTACCTTACCAACTAATACGTATAGATGAAATTATGAAGTTAGAAAATCATCAGTGCATGCTAAAACGAGTGGGTAAAAATTAGACGAGGAATGGGACGCCATCAAGTAGCACCTCCCCCCAGCATTGTTTTTAATCATAAAGAAAAAAATAGTAACTTTATGGTGAAGAAACCTGGCAGACACTACCTTACCTAAGTGAACATCACCTATACTGGGAGTAACCGATGTCATCTGTACCTTGATATCATACAGTGGAAAAGACACATCGCTTTAGTGGTGTTTCTCCAAAAATTCAGAACCCGAAAGGGAACATCAAACTCACTTTAAAGCATATTCCACACAACACCTGGTCTGTACTCTTAGATAATGTCTAGTTCAATAAACATAAAAGCCAAGAACGGTTCCAGATCAAAGAAGACTAATGCAGGAATGACCCTTTCATCTGGAATGTTTTTTACGCAATCAATGTTTGCTTTTAAGAGTGCAGATCCTTTTTTTTATCCAATTGGTTCGGAGCTATAATTACATGATTTTACCACATCTTCTTAAGGCTTTGATCCCTGCTACAATCTACAATATATACATGCGTATGTGTGGTATCCATCTATCATCAATTTAGGTGACAATAGGAGAAAAGTGCCTGGTGCCAATCTTTATTCCATAGTATGAAATAGTCTCTCAGGACAGGGTTTTTGGTGAGAGAGGCATAGGATATTGCTGGGTGACTGCGACTGGGTCAGGAAATAGGGAGGCAGAGGGCAGCAGTTTTGCTAGAACTTAAAATTTGGTTGCTTTTGGAAGAGGAAGCGGGAGATTCCTGCAAGCCAGAACGTCATGTCTCACAGATGTAAATCATAGTTGGGAAAGACACATCGCTTTAGTGGTGTTTTCAAACGACTTTTGAAATAGTAGGGTTTTACTTGTAGCTTCTATCACTGAGGGTAGTTCCTGCTGCTCAAGAGCAAAAGGGTCAGGGTTTGTAAAAGCCAGCCTTAGAAACCTATTGAAAAAGATTTCCAGCGGGGCGCTGGGGAAACGCAGACAGCGCCGGACTCCCTGCCTGGAGAAGCTCTTAACAGGACGGGAAGCTGCGTGCCCCACAAGGTCCCTCAGAGGCACATTGTGGAGACGGGACGCAGGGTAGCAACTTCTGGCGAGTGGAGCCGCTATTACAGAAGATAAATATACGGAGCCAATTTACTGCCAGTTTTCGCAACACCCACCCTCAGCCACCACACTCCCTGACGCAGTCACGCCACAAACTTCCCCGCTTCCGCCCACAGCCCTCCGGGCTTCAACCATCAACTGAGCATGCGCCAAGTCTAGTGCGCACGCGCCAACTTTGGCCCAATCAGAGTTCCAACCCGTGGGGTGGACGCCACGGGGATAAACTAACCTCAGCGTGGGGCGGGGTCTCGAAGCCGAATAACGAACGTGATTGGCCAGCCTCTAGCACATACTTTTAAGGGCGGAGCCTGGCTCAGAAGCCACGTCTAGCGAGCTGTTCTCCTAATATGGGTAGGGTCGGGCGTGGAGCTGTCAGCTGAGCTGTGTGCGCCTGCGCGGGGTGCCGAGACAGGGCGTGTTCGCGGTTCAGTGCCGGTGTTTCGCGGGGCGAGGGCATCTCTCGCAGCCGGAGTGCGTCCTGCTGAAGCCTGTGGTTGCACGCCTACCCTCTTAGGGGCTACCTTCCTAGGTGAGTGTGTGCGGCGTGGCACTTGGGGTTGCTTCTCGCTGCGTTGCCGGAGCGGGGCTAGACCCTTCCCACTCCCCTGCCCTACCCCATCCCCTCCCCGCACCCGGACCAACCTCTGGGACGCCCACCCGCTCCAACCCTGGGGAAGCCTCAGAGTGGCAGCGAAGACCTCTTTCCTTTCCGTCCCTGCGCTTGCTGCCATCGCCCACGTGTTTTGTTGTTTGGTGCAGACCATGTCCAAGTCTCTGAAGAAGTTGGTGGAGGAGAGCCGGGAGAAGAACCAGCCCGAAGTGGACATGAGTGACCGGGGCATCTCCAACATGCTGGATGTCAACGGCCTCTGTGAGTTCTCGGGCAGGACCCTCCCGTGGATGAGCCGGAAGGCTTTCTAAGTTTGCCAGTTCACTGCTGGTCCTGCTGTGAGCGATTGTACTGGTTTAGACCCCAGCCCCTGCTTGTAAACATCACTTGTCAGGGGCTTCGCGCAGAGGGTTTGCAGTAGGATTTGTTCTGTTCCACCTGGAAAACGATCCTGAGAGTCCACGATGAGAATCACAGACAGCTGTGCCTCATCGGTTGTCTCTGCTGTATGGCACTGAGGTGGATTTTCCACATAGTTTGCTTAATAGCCACTTTATTTTTAATTGAGAATTAATTTTGAGTCCTTCCTGTCTCCTAATAGTCTGTGTCTATGAACAAATGACACACAAAAGTTCCATGATTAATAAGCATTCTTGTGCCTGGAGCAGTTTAAGCATATCTTGAATCTTTACATTCTTCTGCGTATTTATTCTCCGAACTTGGTTCAGGCTTTTCTTACCTCCTCAGGCTGTGATGAAATCCTCCTAAATTACCCTCTTGCCTTCAGTTTCACTGCTCAGTTTAATCACCGGGTCACTTTCAGTGTTATTTTCCTGTAATCCCCGTCTGTGGTGTTACCCTCTCCCTTAAAATCAGGGATTGCAAATTCACGTGCCTCCAAGTGAGGGCGGTCAGGGGCGGTCATGGACTAGGTGATAGGTATCCCACCTGAAGGGGCCAGCTGCCGCACCTGCTACTCTGACACATGTCGCCATAGGAATGTTGGCCCAGTGTGCCAGATTATTCTCTTAAAGGAGTCAAGATTCTATATTTTTATGTGAAATTTGCTAATTTTTAGATGTTGGCTAGTAATTTCAATATTTGAAAAACCTGTGATAAGTGAGATAAAGCACTTCCTCGGGCTGACGTGGCTTTGGTTTAAACCCTCTCCATACTTCTCCAGGTTGTCTGTTACCGACGGTAATGCTCCAGGTTTCTTGGCGTGATGTACAAGGCCTTTCTGAGTCTGAACACAACCTTACCCTTCCATGCAGTTGGCATTCCAGCCATTCTGAACCTATTGCTCTATCTGGACCAGAGCCTACTTGTTCAGACCTTTGTGCCTTTACAAATTCTGTTTTCCCTCCTTCTCAGTCTTTTGCACCCGAAATCCTTTTACTTATAAGAGTCAGCTTAGACTATCACCACCTGTGTAAAATCTTCTCCGTCTGCACCAAGCTAACATAGCCACTCCCTCTCCTGTGAAGTTGGACATGTGCGTTGCTTTGTGACTCCTGTCACATAGGATTGTATGGTTATTTTTTTTTTTTTAATCTAGAAGTCTCTCTTCTCTGCTGGGACTTTGGGAAGACAAAAACCGTGCAATATTCATGCTTGCATTTTTTTTTTCTTTTATAGTAGTGCCTGGAGCACAGCAGATGCTCAAAAATAGTTGAGGAATGAAGAAAATGAAAGAATGATGGATTAGGCCTGTGAGTTTGAGATATCAGGTCCAGGATGTGACGAGAGAAGAAGGGAGATGTTCAGGACACCCGGAGAGGTGATGGATAGCCATTTAGGCATGGAGAGAACGGCAGAGTCGGTTTACTGTGAATCCATGGTTTTCACGGTTTGAAAACCTGCCTGCGACAGAGGTTGGAGTTGATGCTCTTGATATGTCTTGGTAGAAGGAAAAGGGAGGAAAGGTAGATTTGTGTTCCGTAGGCTTTATGGAAATACGTGCCATTAAACTGAGTTTGTGTACTAGTGAGCGTCTCAGCGTTGGTGTGTGTTGGTCTCTTGCAGTCTGTAAGGGTCCTTGCTGTCAGCAACTGAGCAGATGCCTCTGGAGTTGGATATCTGAGTGTACCATTGCCTCTGCCTGGCTCTGCCATGACCATGGTCATTATTGGGGCACTGTTGGTACAGAGGAGAAAGAGAAGGGGATAAGGAAGATGATGCCTTGTACAGCAGGACTCTTGGCCCCACGGCTTTCCTCCCTCCAGCGCTCGTTCTCACTGGGTAGATGAGAGGCTGCTTTCAGCACAGGAACTTTATACCCTTCGGCTTTTGAAGAGGAAACTTTATGTAATATTTAGAAATGGGGAGAATGGCTTAGCTATTTCGGTTCAGCTCTGTTATCTCTTTGAAGCTTTGGCTTTTATTAAGGAAGAAAAGATAGCCACTTGCTTCCTGAAATATATTTCCGGTATAACATTGGGTGGTGAAAAGCGAGACCATTCTTAAATTTTCCTAAAGAAGTAGCTAACAATGAATAATAGTACTTTTTGGGAAGTTGGGTGGAAGTGAATTTGGAGATTTCCAGATTCCACCTCCTCTGGCTTCTGTAGCATTGATCCAAGGCTGCTCTCTGCAAACTCCCTGACCTTGGGACTCCTCGGAGCCTAGGGGGTTCCAGGATGCTCTTCGGAGCCTCCACCAGGGCTGTTCTCAGCAGTGCACGCACAGTGACACACTGCTTAATATATACAAGTAGCAAAATACTTCACATGGCTCCATTAATTACAAGTGTAAGAATTCCCTCCCCCCCGTCCCCAGAAAACAGGGTGTCACTCTGTCACCCAGGCTGGAATGCAGTGGTGCAGTTACATCTCACTGTGGCCTCAACCTCCCAGGCTCAAGCAATCCTCCCACCTTAGCCTCCTGAGTAGCTGGGACTATAGGTACACACCACCATGCCTGGCTAATGGTTTTATTATTTTTTTGTAGAGATGGGGTCTTGCTATGCTGCCCAGGCTGGCCTCAAGCTTGTGGGCTCAAGGAGTGCCCCCATCTTGGCCTCCTAAAGTGCTGACATTACAGATGTGAGCCACCACACCCAACCTACATGTTTCTTTACTGATAAAATCTTAGCTGGAACCAGGAAGTTTTATATATTAGTATCCAGCTTAAACACAAGGAACAGTTAACTTGCATGTACAGAGAATAGCTGTTTCTTGCATCTCAGGCTTTCTCTTCATTCTTACTTTGTTTAATTTCTCAAGAGGTAAGAATTAAGCTTTGAAGATAACAGTAAGGTTTTGTATTACTAAGCGTATGAGATGCCCATCTTTCTTCTTGGGAGAGTTATATCTTCTAACGCAGCACTTCCTTAGAGACAGCAAATTACCTTTGAAAGATGTTTTGAAGAGTTTAGGTACCAAGAGCTTTCTGATGGGGAAAACTTCTTAGGCTGGAGACAGATATCAGACAGGTTCTACAGTTTTCTAGTAGTCCAGCCAGATTCTAGAAATGCTCACTTCCTACCAGGAGAGGCAGAGGAGTACAGAGCATAGGAGGGGAACTTAGATTTGGATAGACGTGAGTTCCAATTCTGCTACTTAGTACTGTATAACCTTAGAGAAGCTACTTAACCTCTCTGATCCTCAAGTTCCTTAACAAATGGTAACCTAAGTAACCACTTCATAAGACTGGCTTAATGGTTCATGTTAAATACAATAATGCACATTCAATGTTATTAACTAGTTAGTGTTAGATCCAATAACGTACATTAAATGTTAACTATTAATATGAATATCCAGCTACGGGCCCTATGCCTCAGACGTACCCAGTTCCAACATAGTCAATGGCCCGAACCAAGAATTTCGCTTTGTTAACTCCACTGGGTAAGGCATTTGTATCAGGTGTTGGAATTTTTTGTGTGGCTTATTAGAACCTGTAGTGTTTGGTCCTTTTGCCTAAGGTTCTAATTGATATAGATAGCTCTTTATTTAAAATTTGTCCTAATTTATTTCTTTTCCATCATTTTGTTTTCACATGGCGTGTAATTTGCACACATATTCTCCTTAAAGCTTCCAAGAAGACCAGTGTGGGCAATAGAGCGAGACCCCATCTCTGCAAAACTTAAAACATGAGCTGAGGGTGATGTGCGAATCTGCAGTCCCAGCTGTTAGGGAGGCTGCCGTGGGAGGATTGCTTGAGCCCAGGAGTTAGAGTTTGTAGTGAGCTATGATCGTGTTACTAGGTGACAGAACAAGACCTTGTCTCTTAAAAAAAAAAAAAACAACTTCCAAGCATAATCGTAATGCTGCTGATTTTATTCTTTTTATTAAAGAGATTTCTCTGCAGAAACTCTTTCCCAGGCAGCAGCTGTCTTCGTCTGGTTGATAAAGTTGATTTTGAAGAGCCCTGTAGTCAGCTTCCATTTCCATAGAGACAGAATCCCAGCTGTAGCCGGAGGAACTTTCTTTCATTTCTCGTATTTAAGTGTTTCCTGATTTTTTAATCTCTTCAAGTGTATTGCCCTCTCTGGGTGGTCACGCCTTTATCTTTTTTTTCCCAAGTTAGACTAAAATATTTTTCAGATAAATCCTCGAAAAGAAAACAACCTGCTTTCAAGGGAGTGGTCTTTCTAAAGGAGCGGGCAAAATAATAAACAAATATGAGCATGGGTTATCTGGAAGAGCTATCTCAAAAGTCTTGCTCAACCTGGAACACATGCTATCCATGTAGACCTGCTTTGGGGGAAAGATAAAAGAGCCAGGGAGAACCTGTAATTTTAGCTATAATCCTTATTAAAATCTTTTTTAAAAATTTTTAAATTTTTTTTTTCGTTTTTGAGACAGAGTCTTGCTCTGTTGCCCAGGCTGGAGTGCAGTGGTGTGATCTCTGTTCACTGCAGCCTCTACCTCTTAGGTTCAAGTGATTCTCCTGCCTCAGCCTCCTGAGTAGCTGGGATTACAGGCGTGCGCCACCATGCCTGGCTAATTTTTGTATTTTTAGTAGAAATGGGGTTTCACCATGTTGGCCAGGCTGGTCTCGAACTTCTGACCTCAGTGATCTGCCCACCTCGGCCTCCCAAAGTTCTGGGATTCCAGGCGTGAGCCACCATGCCTGGTCTTAAAATCGTTTATGTTTTCACTCCTCTAGGTTGTGTGTATGTGCCCACCTTTGTGTTTTTAAACACGCCGCATCTTGACCCAGGGAGCCCTTTTCCTTTTTCTCTCTCCTTTTCCTTTTTCTCTTTCCTTTGCCCCCTTGTCAGTTAGTGCTTGTTGAAAGAAGGAAGGACTTATCTATTT